AATACTTATCAGTGATGTTAACTGTTTAAATATGACAAGGTCTAATAATTGCATGTTTATCTGTTTTAGTTATGGCACATATTCATGGTGGTGTTCAATATGATGCCTTTATCAGCTATTGTCGGCGATAGAGTATTATGCATGCATGGTGGTTTATCACCACATCTTAATGATATTACAATGCTTGAAAATGTATATTTATTTTACAAATGAAAATTATCTAAAAATCTGTTTGATAAACAAAGTTTTAGAGAATTTTTCTATAATTATTAATTTGGTAGGGAATGAAAAAGGTGACAAATATTTGACCATCAAAAATCGAAAGTTTATAACACAAAGAGTAGAAGAGAAATAATTTTTTTAGATAATAAGTGATATTTTATTTCTAATATTACAGATTCCTCGACCTAGTATTGTACCACCATATGGACTAATGTGTGATACATTATGGTCTGATCCAGATGATCGATATCCAGGTTGGGCACTTAGCGCACGTGGTATATCATTTACATTTAGTAGTAAAGTAATAAAGGAATTCTGTAAAACGAACAATATCGATTTGATCGTTCGAGGACATCAACTTACAGCAGATGTTAGTTGTTCAATTGTTTGTTTAAATTTTTAATTTTCATTTTGAATAATATTTGAGAATTTTTTTTGACCTCTTGAAATCAGTTTCAAAGTTTTGATTTAAAAAAATTCATCTTCATCTTCAAATTTGTGTGAAATCAGTATGCTTATGTAAATATCTGTGTACACGGCTTCTATCTTTTATGAGCTAAGATTGAATACTTACAATAACTGGTATGATTATCATTATAATAGCTAAAAGATTAGATGATAGCTTTAAATTTACCACAATTTGAAATTTTCAGATGTTCAGAGGAGGATACAAATATTTTGCTGGTGGACGTTTGGTAACAATATTTTCAGCTCCAAATTATTTAAATATGAAAAATGATTCATGCGTTTTGCACATTTCACGGAAGGTTCTGTACAATAGCTTTTTTTTTAAAATTAGTCTTCATTAACAGAAATTTGTTTGCATATTTGCATTACAATGAGGTAAAAAAATTTTCTCATCCAGCCATCTATTCATTGACATATGAATAAACGAAGCTGTTATTTATATAAACTATATATTAAAAATTTTTTCATTAATGAAGTAAAAAGTATCTTACAACTATTCTATGCTATGTCAACAAAAAAACCATCCCAAGAATTTTTACTAAAACTAATTTACATGAAAGAAAATATTTCTCTTCCAAAAAAAGAAAGAAGAAACCTTCTGATTGATTAATCCGAATCTTCTAAAGGCAAAGAAAGATTAAAGTAATAATTCTCACCTTAATATTAATACGGATACTGGTATGCATAAAGTTTGTTAAATTGTTTAAAACTATTTTTTTCAAAATCAAAGCATTTGATGTATATATATTCGATATTCTAGTTTAAATGCCATTTTACGGTATTTCGACCAATATTCCCTGGTCCTACTGAAGTGCAAAATGGTAAAGATGAAGAGACACGAGCAGCACTAATTGATGGATCTTGATGTATTACAGTGTATAATTATATGTTACATCATTTCATTCCGTATATTTGATTAAAATTTCACGTTTTCCTGCGATTAATTGCATCACTTCATAAACCATTCATTATTTTACTGCTTAAACAGTCATACAAATGACGATAATTTTTGTCATCAGTAGCAACTATAAAGTGTCAGTGAGGCCCGTCAGGTATGCGATGTACCTGTTCTACTCATCATAACGATGTAATTGCTGGCAAAATTTACTGTCTTAATGAATTCATAAAAATCCAATTTTTTAAGATGAATTCCCAAAATTTCAATTTTTTTGTAAAGCAATTTTAAACTGAGAATGGTAATGATGTTCATACGGATTTTGTTATCCCAGTAATGCCTTACAAACAAGTACAAAAAAATTGAAATTTTTACCTGGAACCATTCTCTCTACATTTATAATCAAATAAAACAAACATATATTAAAGCAGGAACAAAACTTCAAGGAAAACGGAGGACTACAAGAAGATTTAAAATGTTTAAAAAGGGAAATTTTAGAAAAATATAAAGATAATACTAATAAAGAGAAAATTAAAAAATGCTCTAATCAATACAGTTTATGACATTAACTAGCAAATCAAGGTTGATGCTGTCTGAAAACCCAGCATTTTCGATGTCACTGGTCCAGAATCGTTATGAAGGATATCGTATTTCTTGTTTTCTTTTGTCAATTTCCTGATTTCAGCTATCTGAAAACAAGTTTTCACTACACTTTTATCTGTCGTTTTAAAATATTTCGCCCAAGTTAAAAACTGTCTTATCTAACAGGCTATCAGTTACTAGAAATTTCTTTGGTAACACGACACTAACATCCTCAAATAATTACAACTTTTTTTCTATCAGTAGATATCATTTCCACTGCTTATTGTAACAATCACTTTTTCCCAAAAAATTGGGAGATTATTTCACAGCAGTAAATGAATCTAAAGAAACCTTTTGAGACACTTTATGTTGATAGGTAAAACTATTTTTCGAATTTTTATAAATATCATATTCGATGTGGCAAGATGCCTTTTCAATATCGGCATTATGTCGTTCGTCAAACAAATTTGCAATCAAAGCTGTATAAATTGCTGTGCGCACCGTTTCTCTTCGCTGAAAACAAAAGCTAAATTGTAATTTAAGAAGCTAAAATACAAAATAGAAAAAAATTTAGTAAATAACATAAAATACTATTATATAACTTAATTACTATGATACATTTAAACCATGATTTTGTTATCTTTCATTCATTTCTAATCTCTTCCGTCTTAAGAACTCATTAAAGACCAGCAAATCAAACAGAAAACTTATTTGATTTTCGCTAAAAATATTTAGAAATGCAAATGAAAAATGGTAAAATTTAAGCCATCTCAAGATTCTCTTTTTCTCGGCAGCAGAAGAGACTTCTGTTCTTTATTAACCAAAAATTAAATACCGAGATTTAAATAAAAAGAAGTAAAATAAATACATTAGCTGTCACACTGGCGACTCTTTTTGCTGTTGGTTCAATAATCAACAGATTCGTAGGAACTGAAATTTAAAAAAATAAAAATTTAAATTAATCATTTAACAGGAACACATGTTGACAACGTACTACAGAACTGAAAAAAGCCTGAAAAGACCTGCCTTAGGACTAATTAGTATAGCAACTCACCTTGCCGACTACCAGCTGTTGAACTCGCTGTAGTGGCCTGCAACACAAAGTTGTCACTTGAGTAATTATAGAAGCGAAAATTATTTCAAGAATGTAAGTAGAACAGAAATATAAAATACTAATTGACAGGAGAGATTATAGTGATGAACATATCAACGCTTGTTCAATTCAAACATTTTAAAATAAAATAAATATTTCAAACCTTTCTTCGTTTCGCAAATTCTTGTTGTATAATTTCTGTACGATATTGCTTTTCCTTATTTTCCGAAACTGCAGCCTCATCACCAGATTCACTTACATTCCATTCTCTTTAAGAAAAGTCAATAACTATCAATAAATCAGAATGAAACAAATAAGTTAAATGGAAACTCAATAATTCCTAATGTTACAAAATAGAAGAAGCGGGTGAATTTTCCATAATCACAAGAATTAGGAGCACATTTTCATGTGCCAAGGCTCACTTCACTGCTGCTCGACCTCCTTCATACAGAAAATAGTCCTCGCCATCATCAAAACGACGCTTCCGAGACTGTGAATTACAGACATCTTTCCAAGCTTCCGCATTAAAACGTGATAATATTTCGTCGCAAGCCTAAAAATTAGAATGAATTAGTCTAACCAAAATAAATCATTAGAAAAGTTTCAGATAAGAGTGACTATAACCTTAGGATTTTTGCAATAATCGCAACTCTTTCCACATGGCCGTAAGTCATCGTCACCAAAATAACGACCAAAGGAAATATGTCTGCATCTGAATACACAAATTATTAATAACATATGAACGCATGCACTGCAGAAAATCAGGATATAGAGTGCACTCTGAAGTACTCAACTTCACTGGTTACAATTTAGATTTAGATGCAAAAATGCACTAAGCTTAAAATTAAACTTACTGTGGTTTTTCACAATATTCTACCATTTTTTCGAAACCGTGTTGTATTGCTTTTACCTGCTCATCAATTATCTTCTTATCTATTTTTTTGGCCTAAAAAAAAGTTATGTTGAAGAACTGAACCATGACAAGTTTTATTCACTTATTTTTTATAAATTATAGTGCATTTAAAACTCGCACTTTGGTTTTCAAAACATCTTGGTTAATTAAAAAGTTGAGCAATTGTCGATCATCTCTGCTGTAATAGATACGACAATAACTTCGTTTACCATCACGTCCAGCACGACCCGACTCCTGATAATAGGCTGCGAGATTCTGTGAACACGTCCAGTGAACAACTATTCTAAACAATAAATTTCGATAATTAACAAAAAATTCTCCTGCTTTGTATTGAACTCGAATCACTCAAAAATTTGACGAGAAAAGTGAAAAAGAAAAGGATATAGAACTTCAAAAATCAGATCAACACAGTAAAGCTACCTGACGTCTGCTTTATCGATACCCATTCCAAACGAAATAGTAGCTGCAATAACGGGGATATCATTTCTCATCCACCTGTCCTGGATATCATCACGCAACTAAAATAACAAACTGATATACGAAAAAAGGTACAAAAAGGAGAAATCAAATTTTGAACTTTAAACTATTTCACATTTCATAACTTTCATTTAACCCAATTCCAAATATTTCAAATATAATAAAAGTGTATAAATATTCCAAGTTTTCAACTCAAGAGCCAAGGAATGCAATAATTTAAAAAGTGCAACCCAATGTGAATTACAAAAAACAAACCTTATTACTCAAGCCAGCATGATAAGCATATGTAGGAATACCTTCTTCAGTTAGACGAGTAGCCATTCGTTCGCATTCCTCTCGTGTACGGCAATATATAATACCACTGCCCATAAACTAAAAGATATAATCTTTGTCTTTCGAAGACTAGTAACTTGTTCCAAAAGTCTGATATGAAAAGAGTCCGAGGAATTGTTGTATAAAGAGCTTGATATATAAAAATCTCCAAATAATTAAAATGATGAATACGAAATTAAAAAAGCAAAAAAAAGACGGAAAAAAGAAAACTTACAACCGATTTGCCGTGCGTCTCTTTGGATTTTGAAGAATGGCCATTTTCTGCTGATTTGAGCACTGATTTATCAATTGCTGATTTCAGCTCAGGAGCAGATTTTGCGATGGGCGTGGATTTCTGAGCACAACCCAATGCCTTCATTATGAAGAGAGCCAAATGCCTCTAATGCTCAAACAATTATTTTGAATTTCGTAAGTTCAGCTATAGAAATAATTTATCTATGAGTGCAGTCAAACCTGCTACTAAGCATCATTGATAACCAGTACCTTTGACTATTTTTATAATCACATCGCCTCAGATGTATGTTTGTATCAAGTCACGAAATAGAAAAAAGAAAAAAGAGAACCTCAGGCACAGAAGGTATCAGATCTTTCATAATAACATCGTAATACAAGTTGTCGCGGAATGTTGATGCCTTAAACATTTTTACGCTGTTTAGCCTCAACTGCTTCACGATATCTTCCTGCGCATTTTTGTTAGCTGTAGCCGTCAGTGCAATCCAACACACCTAGAATGTTCTAATTCAATAACGATTTTATTCTATTTGAAAGATGAAGTTCAGTATTCATTTAGAAAAGATCAGAAATCTGTATTTGATAACTAAAATGATTTTAAAAAGCAGAATTATTACCTCAGGCGCTAGTTGTCTCAAGTTTGCAAGTTTTAAATAATCAGGACGAAAATCATGGCCCCAATGTGTTACACAATGTGCTTCATCAACAACAAAATAATTCAGCAGATCTCTTTTGAACAAGCTCACAATCATTCTCTGAATATTTTGAGTAGCCGCAGATTCCGGGGTAATGTACAACAACTGTGTTTCAGGTGTTGTTGATCGCAAATCCTGAAATTCATCTTCAAATTAATATCTTTTTCATGTTTCCTAAATCCTAAGTAAAAAAAAAATGTAGATATTTTTAATAGCATATCACAATTCAAGATTCGCATCCCTCAACAACCGAACTGAAACATATCAAACTGTATAAAGGACCTCAATAATTCGTCTTCGATCTTCAACACCAGTTTTTGAATTCAATGAATCACATTTGATTCCACGGGCTTTACAAGAAAGTACTTGATCTTGAATTAGTGCTATTAACGGTGAAAATACAACCGTCACACCCGGATGATACATTAGTGCCGGTAGCTGAAATTATAGTTTTCACTTTTAATAGATTCATTGTTGCCTATTATAAGCATTTAATTCATAACATTTAAAACTAACGCATTATAAAAATTCAAAAATGAAACAGTTGAAACAATAATGCTGCACACTTAATAAAAATATAATTATACCTGATAACACAACGACTTTCCGGCACCAGTTGGCAATGATATAAAAACATCACATTTTTCTTCAAAATCGATTTTATGATTACATATACATATAAAAAGAAAACACAATAAACAGAAAAAAATACCATTAAAATTAAAATTTTTTTATTCGATTTTCTACGAATCTCAGTGCTTGTACGACAGAAATGAATAATGAAACAGTGAGACTAAATTTTCAACCACAAATACGAGTAATATTAAACGCAAAAAAAGTAAAATGTGTAATTAACCGTTATGAAGTATATTTTATTAATGGTGATTTCCTACAGCATCATCCCGCAGAAACAAAAAAAAGCTTCTTAAATGTAAACTTTTGCGTGGTGAAATATATAATGGTACCTATCACTTTTCATCATATAACTCATCCTTTGATAAAGAGGACGGAAATGTTATTTATGGATGGGTAAAAAAATGCACTCACTTTTCGCTACAGTATAAATAGCTTGCTTTTGAATTTTCGTTTTATACTTTTTGTACTTGAAAACAGTACTCAAAAGATGGTCCGCTTTTTCCTTAATCTCTGTAATGGTTAAACGTCCTGAAGTGGACGATCCAGAAAATTTCTGATGCTCTGTCACCTTATCATGCTCAGAAACAACCACAACCGGCAGTTTACGAGATCGATCTAAAAAGCGATTTTTATTTGCTGGATAAAAAACAACCGAAACTGCAAGAGAGACAGAATATCGCTACTATTTCACTATTTGTAATGAACAGTACCTGAATTTTAAACTTGTCTGGAATTGAATAAGTGCAAGGTTTAGAAAACAAGACAAAAAATAAAAGCAACAACTACCTGACAAGATTACTGAATTTCCTGTTTTCCGCTTTTCCGGTGACTGATTGTCAGTGATGTTTTTCTTCCCGGAACGGTGCATCAGGAAAGCCCATTTGTCAGCTTGGTTTTGAAGTACTTGTGGTGGTTTAAAATCATCCTCATCATTCAGTACAATAATTTCTAAAATACTAGATGTCAGAATTCTTCCGATTTCCATGCTATCCAATCTCCAGATGGTCAAGTCAAATCGAAAAATGAGCCATAGAAAATAAGAATATACACAAACGAGGGATAACTGGGAAAAAATCTGAGCTATAAAATATGTCATTTAATATAGAAATGACGCAAAAATAAAAACTTCACCCTTTAAATTATCTATGTTTTTTTAAATTGTCAGTTAAATTTTCTGATCCATATGATTTTCTCCTTATTTTCCTCATAAAAATGGATATGGAAATGTTTCTTCTTTTTCAAAATATTTAATTAATTCAATGTATTAAGGATAGTAATATTTTTCAGAAAGTATAAGCGAAGGAAAAATAGTTCATACTTTACTACTTTTTTTTTACTTTTTCTTTTTTGTCTCTAACGTTTTTAGCGATTCTGCATAGATGCTTAAAGAATATACTCGTAAAGTGATTACTATCCTCCATCATAAATTTTTTTTAAATATCACATGAGAATCAAGAAAAGTTTTGACATTTATTTTGAACCTTCGAATATCAAATACCGAGAAAATATTCTTAGAATGTTTACATTAAATAATTAGAAAACATATAAGAAAAAGAAAGCTGCTTTTAATGAGAAATATTTAATCAAAATTTAATATATTTCAAAACATACCATTTTTGACAGAGCTTGTCAATCGTAACGCCATGAAAGCAAATGGTAGGGGCACGCAGTTATTAGCTAAAAAAACATTATTAGTACTTTAAAAAAAATTTTTTATTTACATAGATCAAATTTTTTGCTGAAATCGACAATTGCCAATTCGATCATTGATGACAACGAAGCTATTCAGAAAGTCTAGACATAAATAGCATCATTTGACCTATTTTTAATGGATTTTTTTTTGATGAGAGTGCCAACTTGAAATTATGCATCATTCTCGAGAATTTCTGTCATCGAAAATGAAATTCATCCAAATTCGTTTGTGCATATGAATAAATGAAAACAGTGCTCATTAGATTCAACGATTAAGTAGAGGTATTAGTTTGTTTGTCAAAACGAACAAGAAATACAAACTCAACATCAGAATTAAGGTATTCATACATATTGCGCCAGCAATAAAGTTTTAGATATTTTCTAATCAAATGATTTAAAACGAAGAGAAGCATAGGCAAAGTATCGTAAAAACATAATTCTTTAACAAAATTTTGCCTTCAGATAATAGTAAAACTTCTTTGTACAAACCTGCATGGTTAATCAAATTTATATGAAAAACAAACAGATCAACGGGATAAAAAAAGAGCAAAGAAACTACTTGAATAAACCAGCAATATTGTAACTTATAAAATTATTAAAATTAAAAATATCATTTTAATAAACGAAATGTCTCATTTGTCCTGATGATACATATAAAACAAGACTGAAAAGTAAGGCTAAAGTCTATTAAACTGCAGTTTTTAATTATTTTAAGTTAAATATTTTCAATTATGAAACTTTTTCTTTTCTAACGACTGATTGTCTTACGAATATTGGGATCAATCGCCGAATGATAAATTCATAAATATATAACAAAAGTCGTCGCAGTGGTGGAAGCGGAGCTAAATCTTTATCTTCCTCCGAGAGAGGTATCATCCTGAAACAAAATCAAAGTTAATTACGCCTGGAATCCAATTCTGCTAAGCCACTGATCAGTACTGCAGATAAAGTTATAGATAAAATTTTACAGTATTATAAACGCAATAATAAAGAAGGACTAACATTTTTGTAGTCAAAGTATGTACTGGTCCAAAAAGCATAGCAATTGCTGTACAAACAAGGCAAATTACATTGAATGGCATACTAAAATCCGGTACCGGTAGTAAAACAAGCAGCACCTCACCATGCATTGTTATTATGCGCGAACTTTTCGCTCCTAATATCCTGCAAAACATAACATAAGTAAGAGGATTTGACTGATAAATATGCAGTTTTTAATTGAATATCATACTCACTCATCATAAGTGGTAGTGAGTGAATCACCAAGGTCAGTTCGATTTCTTTTCCACAATTCAGCAGCAGCAGTAAAAGTTATAACAGGTGCTGGAATATAAAAGCCATGGTTAGCATCTGGCGGATATTCACTCACTCTAAAAAAAATCTTTATTTTTTATCAAAACTCAGAAATGAATCCATAATTCCATTATTTCGGAATTTGCACAAGAAATAAATGAGAATTTCACTTTTTCAATGTTACTTCTTTTAAAATACTGTCGTTTTGAATATTTTTGAAGCCCTACTTTTGGAATATATGATGCAGTGTACTAAAACATAAATGAGGATCAATCTTGCAGATTTCATATTTCATAGCAAATGAGAATTGTGATCGAGGAAATTTGAAAGTCAGTCTTAAAATTCATCTAGGACACGATTCATTTGACTAAAAGTTTTTTAAATTCTATTATTATCATCTCGACGAATGGTAGACAATTGGTTACTAAAAACTGACGATATACAAATCAACAAATGAACATATTTTTAAGCAATGCTCATGCTCACAGAGAGTAACAGATTTTTTCAATAATTGCTTTTCTAATCCCCACTGATAAGCACTGAACAAACCTCAAGAAGGCTTTATCGAATTCAAAAGATATTTCGCAAAATGAGTTTTCTGGAAGAGTAACATTCCATTCCAGAAGGAATGGCCGTTGGCGATCTTTGGCCGACACAAAGACTTTTTTGTTTACTTTCGCTTCTAGGAACTGTTCCTTGAAAATACAAAAATTTTAAGAATTCCTACGACACAATATTACTCGAGAAGTCAAGAATATACGAAATGTTTGTCGAAATTTTATGTAGTCGGAATTTTTCGTTCAAGATTTAATATTTATTAAATTATTTCTTGCGGTTGTTGATCTGCACCTGATATTTGTTTAGACATACGCTATTTCAGACATACGCTCAATATTGAAATCTATTATGGTTACCTGTTTAATGTCTAGAGAATGACAAGTAAAACGAATTGTATGATAATATATTTTTATGAACCACGGCACTACATGGGTATAAACAACACATTGTGGTATATGTTGTCCATTTCTCAAAATACTAATTAGACGTCCCGATTGTTGATCTGTACCCGAAGCATAAGTTCGAATCCTGAAAATAACAATTTGCTCCACAATCAAAAGATAGTGGGATATGAATAGTTAAGTTCGGAAAATTACCATTTTATTACAACTCAAGATCTTTTATTTATGGACTAAAAAAAGTGACTTAATACATGTGGAATTTAAATGCTTTTAAAAATTCTTCAATAGCTATTTAAAGAATATCTGAGGGTATGAAATGCCAATATCCAAATTATGGCTTTTTAAGCGGAAATCATCATCTCAACCAAAACTAGACCAAAAGATTGAAATTATGGAAAAGCAGAAAATTTTACACAAACTTGGAAAGACAGAGAGAAACAAAACTTTTTAGAATTAAATACGAACGTAACCAAGGTAGGACTATTATCGATCGGTAATTCCAAACGACTTTCATATTTTGCACTTATATCAATCGGAAATGTATGATGTGGGTAAGCGGAAATGTTGTACAGTGAGTAAATTCGATCACCTATTTTTCGCTGTTCACTGTTTTCCATCATAACCTAAAAGGAAATAAAGATTGCTTCATATAAGTAGGATTTTTTTCAACTTAGTATTAAATGTATTTCAGGTAAAAAGAATCTATCTAAATGATAAAAATTTTAAATAATGTAAAACTACCTTCCGATCCACTTCAAATAAAACAATGTCCCTATCTGCTACTACACACTTTTGATCGATTCGTCTACCAAATATATGCCGAAAACTCCAATCTGAAGAACATTATAAAGGATAGCAATATTTATTTGTAAAAGTTTTAAAAAGGAAATCCAAACCCAAATTTCTGGATTTCAAATCCAATCCCGACACGAAATTTAAACTAAGCTCCAGTCTTCGCCGTGTTCCACAATTCGTTGTCCCATCCTGAAGATTTAAATATATATAAACAGAGAGTTTTAAATTACTACTTAACAACCGTTTTGAAGATAGCTGAATTTCACTAAAAATTTGAACTTTTTTAAAAAGGTCCTTCTTTAGACATTTACAATATTTCGATAATAGCGATAACAAAGTTACTAGGTGAAGGAAAAAAATACAACCTCACAAACGTGGAGAAAATGTGCTGACATAGAATGAAAAACTGATTCATACATTTTAATGGGATTCAGCAGCGTGGACAAGCCAGTCTAAATTATTTATAAAATAATTAGAAACAATGTTAAAAGAGAAAAAATTTTAAACAGACGTTAGACCACTACTTTTCTACGGCCATCGTTAACATAGAACAACTCCATGAATGTATGAAGCGAATTTTACAAAATCTGATGCCTTGAAAAAATAAAAGCACACCTGTTTACAGGGAAGTAATTTTCTCCACGGTGTAAAATTTTCAGTACAAACTGTTTCACTAGCCAAAGCACCGTACCGAAAAATTAAATAATGCAATCAAGAAATGAAACTACCAATACTAGCAAAAGGAAAAACGATGAGTTACGGGGAATTCAGCTCTGTAAGCTATTGCTTGATTTCTACATATCAATATATAAATCATTATTCAAATATCGATACAAATCTCAAATACAAGATCCTCACCAAGACGAACTCAAAGAATGAAACTCATGAATAAACGAAGAAAAAAAGGTTAGTTTATAAATGTACCTTATTTGCGATGAACCTTTTGGATTCACATAACCCATATGGGAAAAAGAAAGTTGTGGTACAGCTGTATAAGTAGGCAAAATATCAAGAAGAGATGTACAAAAAATACCATTCATCGAATTAACAAAACTTGACCACCTTTCATCGACTAGTTTGCTAAAAACAAAGTGTTCTAAAAAAGATTTATTCAAGCTATCATGAACCAGTTTAATTTCGGTTTCACTTTTAATACAGCCCAATTTCTTATCATAATAACTTGTTCCCAAAAAGATAATTTACCTTGTACTATTTCCACTAATCAAAGCATATAACTGTGCACCACTTGGTGAAGATGGTTGAGGTTGTACTCCCCATTCGTTTAATCTCCAGAAACCTTAAATGTAAAATTGATTTATATTGTGTACTTGTGTTTCGGTTATTCATTAACTTTATTAGCCAATAAACTGATCAGTCGGAGTATGAATAAAAGCAGATCAATAAAACAGACAATAATTTGATTGCTCAGTAAATACCAACTGACAATTATCATCAAGCTCTTTAGTTATTCCATTTGAAGGATAGAAACGAAAGCAGTACCCTGTGTAAGTGATAAATGAAACTCCTGGATATGATGTTTCGTTACCACTTCACTGATAATGCGCGGAAACAAAACATAATCCAACCCTTCAACATTCTTTAGAAATCATTCTAATTCTACTTAACATTTAAATACTTATATCTCAAATTTAACGAATTTTTGCTACAAGTAGTCAGTTATATTATCTGAATCCAGCACAAAAATAAGTCACCTTAATTAGAAGCATGACGCTTATCTTACTGTTTTGGTTGTAAAAGGGAAATCAATTATTAAATAAATTAATTAATCAACCGATTTAGTTATCAATTTACTCAACTATTTATTTATTAATCAGCATTAAGGCATAAGAGAAACATACCTGATTTAGCATCAGATGTAATAACAAATCGAAATTGTGCTAAGAGATGCCCACTTTTTAACCTTTTAATGAGCAATTCTTCCGCATATGTATCCTTTCCTTTCAATGTCCTTAAATCCACGCTACCATATGACACTATCAATAAATACGCGAAGAAAATAATAAAGCCATTATACATTATCCACATCCTCAATGATAATAATAACAGTGCTGCTGCTGCTGATAAGAAATATGTCAATATTATTATAAGCAAAGATTTCTTATGTTTGCAAATCCATTTCTTTTGAGCACATTTTGAAAGCACTATAAATAATTCAAATTGTTAAGACAGAAGATTAATTTAAATTAGTTTTATTTGTTCGATTTAACCAATTATAAGATAGATATAGAGTATCAGATTTAAATTTTAACAATTTTAGTAATAAATATGTCGAATTAATTGTATAACAATATTCAGAGAATAATCACGAATATAATTCAAAATTATCAACTTAAGGTCAGACAGAAACAAAGAAGCTAAATGACAAAACTCTCATCTCCATCTCCACTCCCGCATCCCCCGAATGTCGTGCCCTCTCTTACCATTTTCAATTTAACCGAGTAGTTCGATCACTATGAAACGGTTGATCCCACCGACCCGTTTTAATTAAAATAAAAATATTTCAAATTTGTCCTTTAATTTATTCCATGGATATATTATCTTTCTTTATTACTAAAGCTCGAAATTATTCATTAAAATTATTATATTTTCGGTGGCGAATTTTTGATGTTGTTTATTCACATTCTAATCACAAATAAACATTCCAATTAACGGATCTAATAAAGCAGTTTGGATACTGATATGAATGCTTCGATATTATTGACGCTCGATATTCTTATCACAGTACCTTATGTGACCTAACCAATTATATAATCATTGTAGGAATAAAAGATAATAAATGATAACACTAATAATTAATTTAACATGACAATGTTAAATGTGAAGACGTAACTGATGTTAAATGTTAAATGTGAAGACGTAATTACACACAACATAAGAGATCCATCTATCGATCTTTGAAGAAATTTAAAGGAAGAAAAATGTTAATTGAAATGCCACAAAATATTTTAGCATACTTATCATCTCATATCATCCTTTTTAAATTGATGTGATTTATATAAAACGCATCGTGTAAATGAATGTTGCCTACCACTTTTCCATCATTTTACGTTTCGAATATTTTCTAAACAAAATATTTGCAATATTTTTATATCATTATTGCTTATGCAAATGAAGGAAGCATGTAAAAATGGCAATTTGTAAATTGTATGTTGAAAATATGAATTTTATTTCAAATTTGCTAATATTTTGATCGAATTGAAAATAACTGCAATGAAAAAATAAGTGATAACAAATATACATATACAAAGCCCAGAAAATATACATTTCTGACATGCACTGCAAGAAAAATGATAATAACAATAATAATTATTATTATTCAATAATAGTAACATGATGATAATGATAAGGATAATAATAGCAATAATAATAACAATAATAATAATACATAAATGTATGTTAAAAAGCACAAACACAAAACATAGCAAAGTAAATGTGAGAAAAAACAGTTTTTAAGCAAACGGACGATGAATAATCTTTGTTAAAAGATATAAATTACTGTTCAACTCCCTTTTTTTGCTGAGAAATATTTTTTTTTTTTAGTTTTTGAAGAATAACTTTTTTGATAATTAAAATTTTCCATCGTCAGAAATTTTTGGATAGAATAATTTTGTTTTTACATTTAAAAATGAAATTCATTTTCCAATTGCAACAGTCAAATATCATTATATCATGATAAAAAATTAAATAGTATTGAAAAATTAAATAGTATGGATTTATTACATGAAAATAACTTGATATAAATTCGTCAAATCGATATTACAAGTAAAATTGTTAGATATCGTATCGTATTGTCGCATTATCACATTATATCATATAATGTATGTATCTACAAGTAGATACTGTAACTCAAATTATCATTTTCGTTTTTTTTTCTCCCTTTTTTTGTTTAATGTTGAAGTGCCACTTCAATTAAGTGAATACTTTTGCATAGCCTGTTTGGACATTCACGATGATCCATAAGTGCCAATTTCTTTGGATGATCTGGACAGACTTTTTGAAGTCGTCCAACAAATTCAAACCCGCATCTGGTACAAACAATATGACTAGCTGGCCTGTTACATATACAATTCTGCAAAAGGAAAAAAAATATATGAAAAATTAAATTGCTAATATAGCAGAAAAATCAAATGACTAATGCAATTTCTATTACTAATTAAACAGTTAATTTAATCTATAAATAATAATTTTTGTATCAAAAAATTTTTTGTAATATTTACATTTACTAAATCAAATATACTTGCTATTATTATTACATCACACTTCCATTTTATATTAACTGATCATCTGTCCTTCTTATCTTTTTAATTTAACATTTCGAATTAATTAAATATGCACATCTAAAAAAAAAATGTTAATCTAGAAAATATTTCCCATCATATTGA